GTATATACTCCCGCTGCGTTTACCATCCGATTATTCCATCTACATTGTGCATTAATATATTTGCGGTGATAATGTACGATCTCATCGTCGGCAAAATCCCCAAAGCTCCCAGTTTATTGCGTTTTGTCAAATAGGTATATGTGTAATAATTGAGATTGCGAAGCACAGTAATACTAGTCGATGTAGGATTGACGTCGCAATATCAATTTGACACATATCTTTTGACGCCAGTGTCAAATTAGATTGTAATCAATATATACAATCAGTCAGCCTTTATCGTTTTTGGATTGACATACAACCAACCTGAAAGGTGCTGCTGATATACATATTACTGAATATTTCCACCCCAATACATCACTATCACTTTTTTGATCTGTCACTGATTTTTATAAAGGGGCTTTAAAATTGTTCATCATGTTTTAGGAGGTTGCGCGGACGGATAAGAATACTTATATGTCTTGTCCGCACATTTGGGTTGAACAAGACAAGTTACGAATATATACAGGTAAAGCATAATGCATTTGTTTAAGAAATATTTATTCACATGAATTCTTGTCAAATGTATTATCGATGCGTGTCTGATAAACATCAGAATCAAGTTATATTCTCCATTTTTTCAACCTCTTACTAAAATCGGTTTTCTTTGTATTAATTTATAGAAGGTTAAGATTTTGCGATTATCTTTCGAACATTCATTGTGCAGTAAAACGCAGAAATGTTTGCTAGAAATGTACAGGACTATGAGACTTAGAAGTGTACATAGTAACGTTAAGTATTTCAATATAAGCTGGGTCTATTAAACTGTTTGGACTACAATTTATAAAGCGTTATATCGCTTATCATACATTGCGCGCGTGAAGCAGCCGCCGGGAGTTCACTTTAAATTTACTTCTTGCCTATAGAAACATTTAGGTAGATCCGCGCTATAAAGAACTTTTAAATTGCAACATTCTTTAATATGTACCGACGATAGTGAATAGGCTATGACTAGATGCCCACCCATTCTTTGCTACAGGCACACCCGCCCGCCCAAAGGTACAATTAGGATCTTAAAATATTGTGCTGAAGAATGTGTGAAATACGTAGATACTTACTACTGCTCCTTATTATATAATATTGTACGGCAAATCCACTCCTGTGCAAGTACCTGTCGACCCATCATCGCCAAGGCATAAATAAATCAGGCAATGCCTGCTAAAAATCTACACTTTCTCAAACACGGTATCCGACTTGACTGAATGATGCCAAGCGATCTGACCATCTGCAGTGTCAACATTTCAATTTCCAAGTTTTTGCAGATCCAGGCACGTACAAACACGTATTGCATTTGTGGATCTCTCGGCTACCATCCGTGACATGGTACGTATCGGTACAACTTGTTATACGTCCCATTCCTTGCAGATCATTGTGGTCAAAAAGATGCAGAAAACAATTCTTACCCACGAGGTAATACATTAACATGCTGGATACCGAGGCGAGGATATGAGTGTTCTGTGATTTCCGCCACAATCGCACTTGTAGTGACCTGTTGTTGACCCGCCTTGTTTTCTTTGATTCGTCGACGGACATGGCACACCCTTGGGTACCGCAAAACCGTTTTATGTTGTTTTCATCTAGTAAACGTTAGTAAATCGGGTACCAATGAGAGCTGTAGGTGGGAGTTATAGATGTTGAGAGACGGTTTCATTCTTTTAAGCCATCGTACGACATGTATAGTTTGTCTAGTGCGTATTATTATATGGTGTTTTCAACGTAATGTATGAGTATAAGGGGAAATAAACTCAATTGCGCGGCCAAGATAGGTGTTTAAACCGTTTCGATTTCTTTTTAAATGACTAAAATTCCCCTCCCTAATTCCCAGAGTCCTAGTCCTATAAATTCGAGCAATTTGGTTGGGTGCGTTTACACACAACTGTACTGTACAAGTACATAATTTTCGCTTTAAACGATAAGTATTTTATATCATTGAGGCAGTCGAATGTGCCAGTGCAAAATTGATTGTGCTCCTTGCAAAAGTGGGAGGTGCCCGTAGTCATGCCCTAATGAAGTTTCGTATATAGCATCAAACAAAAAAGATATCATGACACGAGTGTGGGTTATTAACGTGTAATGGATCACCGAGTAACAAATTCTGTGAACAATTGCGGTCTCTCGAGCCTTTTTTTCATTCTACGCCACAGTATTGTAGCAAATGGCAATTTTCCAATTTGCATGACAAAGTCCAGGTACTTCGTATTATGCTTATGACGCTATATAATTACTGGCAAATATTACAAATTTTGTATTTTTACGAATGTTATTACCAGAATCTCTCATGCAAGTGCCATGGTGTCCTCTACTTCTTATATATATATATATTGTAAATGTAGATCTAGTGGCATATATGGCACTAAATACCCATCAGATGCCTCGATTAAATGCTCGGTTTGTATTAGATCATGCATTCAGAACTTCTAGTATCGATTTGTTTTAAGATGGAAGTATCACAATATCACCTGATTAATGAAGCGATAAGAACACAATTACTTACAACAGCGATTGTCAGGGATCGATCATCACAGGGTTGGTTACGTGCGTCACATACCTTGCCAGAATCCTTCTAAATATACATTTATATATATATATATCGGACAGTAGATGCAGCTAACGTCGCGGTAGAAATCTGACAATGATGACCAATAGAAATATGAAAAGAATAATATGCGCGGATGACACAAAAACAAAGCCTAGTGACGACTTCACATTTCGAAAAAGTAAGGAGTATTAAACAAGATTACTTTCGTTGTAAAATGAGTACATACATATTTCAAGAAATAATTTGTGTTACTGCAGAGATTCGACAGTTCATCTGTGTATGTGTGCATCGTCGCTACAGTTAGAATCAAATCAATATTCTTCCAAATTGTAATCAGCCATTTACATTCAACTGACAGATAATATGAGCTCATCTTATAGAAAAATAAGTATTGCTACTGATTTAATAATTATAACGTCAGCTGTGATTTGTTACGCTCTATAATATAGTGTATAGATGTTATATACACGCTACAACTACGTCTATTTTATAGATTGTGTTTTAAGATAGTACAATGCTTGTTGTATTGTCGCTACTATAACGGAGTTTCTCTTCAACTTGAAGTCGACAATAGGTGTGGTGCACACAAGGGATGAGGTTCCATCAAAAGGAATTTAAAACGATGTATCAGTTGATGAGGACTGATTTATGTCAACTGCTGATTACGATATCTTGCGAGATGTGTTAATTAGATCATTAGTGTCTAGATTAAGTAAGTTATTATGGGGTGTTCTTTTCGATTAGAAAAAAAGTTCAGTTCCCATTTTAATCCGTTAAGACATGTGCCTCCCTGAGGCGTCTGGTGATCGTAGAAGAATCTAGCAACGCCTTGGTAAGACAGCTACTGTTAGAGCACTCTGTGCTGTGATTCCCTGTATCGTTTGGTCCCCCTGGTACCGGTGCGATAAGCTCCCTGACCTTGTTGACTTTGAGTCTTGAACGTTATACCAGACAAGGGTCGTAGAGCGTGAAGTCTTCGTCTGACTTTAGGAGCTGTGAATATCCGCTACAGCTACGATATAATAGACTTCTTTTTCGCCGCTTAGAGTGTAAGTAATGTGATCTACCGTTTATACCGATAAGTCGTGCGTGTAATTGCAGTCATCGACATATTGTTTTTGCCTTAGCTTTTCCCTTAGCTGCTGCGCACCTTCAAGTAGCCTTTATATAGCTGTGCTCGCTATAAGGAGGGGTTTTAGATGTCGCAGCATGCTTTTCGTAGATATGTGGTATAATACAATCAGTACAGCGACGTCATGAGCCTAACTTTAATGGTATTTCTTTTCTACGTGCCATGAGCTGTCTTGGCATTGTGCATGGGACTACAAGCCAGGTGCAACAGTTATAAAATAAGTGTGCTGAGCACTGAACATTTGAGGGCAAGAAAACTTGATCAAGGTTAATATTATTGTGCACGATGCAAGACATGTATGTTCATTGCCTAGCATGTTGGTACAGAGTTCAAGTTTTATTGTCGACCGATGCCTCATCAACTAATCGAACATAATCAAATAAACCGAAATAAATATAGTCCCCTGCATCTCTTCGTGCCGGCGGTTGGGTCTGCAACAACAATGCTTCAGTAGAGTCTCCATTTTTTAGTATGGCTCGGACCGACAAGTTTGAATGATATTAAGGAATTATCATTAGAAGAGTTAGAGCGGATAAGGTAGAAGCGAAGGGTTCTACACGTGTTCGCATCCTGTATGGTCGTCAATGGTTATGCCCTCACAGACATCCTCCACAAGGCGATCTGCATGGACAAGAAGATACGTCCAGGCCTCACTCAGGTAGCTCTGTGTCGGTGAAAGTTGGAAGATAATGGAGTCACGGTCACCCAAGGGACAATTAGCAACGTGTTAAAGCGTTCTGCAGACCTGCTAGTTCCAGTTAAGAGCGATGCAGCCCTCGATTTTAAGCGACAGAGTGCGGGTCGTACCAGCTGTGGAAACAACGGTTACTTGGTGTTTTCAACATCAGCGGACACCTGATTGAAGAAAAAGCAGTATCATTTATGAAGACGCTGTATCCAACTGTCAAGATGAGTATGCACCCGCATTCTTAATCGGTCAATTGCAAAAATTTACTATCAAATGGCAGAAAATATTCTGACATTAATAATAAACATACAGTGAACTTTTTAAAATTTGGCCTGGGCCTTACATGGGACTCGACATTTCATTAAATGAAGAAGTTTTTTAACATAAAATTTTAATACTACGGAGTCTCTACTGCAGTGGCACTATATGCTAACAGGATTCGTACATTTTGTAGCTGCGTATATTTTCTTGTACTTATCCGTATTTGCGCGAATGATAGACACAGCATTCGCTATAATATCATCCTCTAATCGGCTGGACTCCTCAAGGTGGCCCATGCGTCTTCCATGAAAAAAGCGAATATCACATACACATTACCCAGTAGATCAAAATCCCCATTTGTGATGTCCTTTGCCATCGAGTGACGCTAAATTGAAAGGGATACTCCGAAGACTCATAGTATCTACTGATGGCTCCACTCCTGCATCGAGGCGATCTTCGGCACTCAATTGTGGCTTGGCCTTAGCCACAACAGACGGGTTATCGACACTCGGTTGTGGCTTGTCCTTAGCCACAACAGACGGGTTCTCGACACTCGGTTGTGGCTTGGGCTCGGCACGAATAGGAAGCTCCTCGGAAATCGCAGGTGGCTTGGGCTGTTCTGCAGTAGGGCGACCACCCGCGTTCGCTGCTCCATTAGGAATAGTTTCGGAGTGAGCTCCAGTAGGGTGAACGCCCGCGTTCGCTGCTCCATTGGGGTCGACAGCGCGAGTAGCTCCAGCAGTCCCGACAGTTCCGGCGTCTTCAACCGCGTCCTCGAGTTTCTTGCCATTGTTCGCGTCTGCAGTCTTGCCTTCACCGACCGGTTTGCCTTTGGCCTTGTGCGACTTGATCCACGCCATGAAGTCTCGGAAGAGCTTCGATTTATTGAGAAAATTCACAAACTTCTCCCATTGACGTTTCGTCCAAGAGAGTTTTGTCGTCGCCTGGATTTCTTCGACGTGTTGCTCTTTAGCGGCAACCCCTCCATGGGTTTCTTCGACGTGTTGGACTTTGGTGACAGCTCCTCTTTGGATTTCTTCGATCCGTTGATTATTGGCGATAGCCGTTTCCGCCAGCCGGGCGCCCGCCCCTCCGCCAACTTCTCCGGCATGAAGTACACCACTGAGGGCCTTTTCGAGTTTCGGCGCCGCTTCTTCAACGACTGCTCCACCAGGAGCTCTCTCCTCAAAATCCGCAGGCAGCATCGACTCATCGTCGTCAAGAGCCTCGCGCAAAAGCCTCTGCGTGTCCACGTCGTAGGCGTTGCCGTCCGTCACGCGAGCCACAACAGACACGTCGGACTCGAGCAGAGCGTTCGCGTCGGCACCATTTGAAGCCGCGTCGCTCGAAGCGAAAACAGCGACGAGAGCGGCAGCAGCGGAGTAGACAAAACGCATGTTCTACTTGTTTTCGTCGAAAATGCCGAGCGAAAGTGATGCAAAGTGGTTGTGGGTGGTGGCGGTCGTGGATCCAGCGGTAGTGATGGCGGGGATCGTGACGCTGGGATTGTGGCGGTGGCGGTGGCGGTGGCGGTGGTGGCAGTCAAATTGCAAAGTGAGATTGGTGAAGCAGCACGCGCGCAGAGGTCTTCGACCTTTGCTCAGCTATCGGATTCAACAGGTCTGATCCGAAGAGGCTCTTGACCGGCTTTGACGACGAAGCCAGCCCTTGTTCAGTCTCTATCACAGTGCCCATTGCAGTTTGGGCCACGACCAGCGCTTTGTGCCCTTTGCACGTCTCGAGACCTTCTGGCGGTGAGCGCTGCCAACAGCTGACAGGAAGAAGCTCAGCTTGACGCGTCACAATGCCAACAAAAAAGCGCAGTGACGTAACCACTGTAGCGCGTGTGTCTGCACATTGCTGACCGTCTGTTTGTACAAAGAGCTGCTCACGGGAACGAAGATCCGATCGCCAGGCTGGTCGCGCGACCGAAGTGGTTCCAGAGCTCGTCTGCGTTTAAAACAGGAGGATTTGGGGACTACATGTAGTGAGCCGGTGCCCCTGGCACGCCTATAATGGAGACGGGCTATACCAAATAAGCGCGGGCTTGAGCTGCTGTGCATAAACCTGTAGGACTGCACAGGAACGAAACTCCAGCGGCAAATTAACTGCTTCCCTCTCACAGTCGATGCGAAAAGCAGTAAACTACCTTTAGTTATCTACCAGAGGAGATTGCAAAATTAACGGCAAAGCTATCGGTGACTGCAGTAGGTGAGAGCGATCTTCTCGGTGTCTTCACTCTTTGTGTGTGTACGTGCGCTTCTCGAGTCACGTGCTGACACGCCGGCGTTTAAATTTGTCAGCAAGTAATGAAGCAGTGATCGAGTGGTAAGATGTACAAGTGTTCAGCATCACCTCCAACAACTTTTACACAATCAGCGACCCCCCTCACCACTTGTGAGAATATGGAGAGTGCTGTAATCTATATATGCGCTAGAGCTCGCAGGACCGTCGATATGTCGATGACGACGTCTGAGATGTTGTTGTGCATCTAAATTCGTGCCGGGCGTACCCCATCTTCGAGTGTGACCGCTGTGAATGCTCATTGAAAAATACGGCAGGGGGTAAGCTGACTGAAGTAGTCCGTTCTTTCATGCGTTACTTGAACACTAATACTTTTATCTGACAATTTCGCCCGAACACTACGACCACCTGGTTTCACTTTCCGCGGAATGTTGTGGGATATAAAGCTAGACCCGCAGTGGAAAATATTAACAAACGAAGATCATCTCTTTTACAACGCAGTGTGTATGTTGCGGTCGATGTTCGCACTGATGGACAGCTCAAAAAAGAGCGGCATGTTGTGGTTGTGGTGCGAGATGGCGCTCACGGAATACTTACTACTCACCTACTGACGAACAGCAGAGCTGCACTGATAGGAGGAATTTGGTATGCAGAACACTGTCGTTATCCGTCGTACTTGGACAACGCAAACGTAAGTAGTCAATGGTCGTTCAGCACGCTCGACTGTGGGCAGAGCTCGCCCGCAGCCGAACTCCTTGTCTTCAGTCAACTTATATCTGCGGTTGCATTTGACATTGTTGTCGTGTATAACTAAGACCAGTCTTCGTCTTTCTATGCTCTCATATTTCTCGATCACACATCTGTGACACCATCGAGTTGCTTCGCTACTCAGCATCCACGGCAGCACATGTACTTGTTAAACATTTCACAAGGCGCAACCCAATTTCTAGCCGCCGATCCCGACAATCCAAAATGAAAAAAGGTGTATTTGATACCGACTGCGTATACAAAGTCGAGTTCCCATACCAAATGGTGAGCGTCAGGTATCACACCTCGATCGCACCGAGAGATCCATACGAATGTTTTACTATTACCAAAAAATGGCCAATGGCAAACAAAGCGTGCGTTTTTCCTCCATCAACTCGAAAAAATTAAGTCAATCAACAAAATAACTCAAGTATGCTTACCGTTCTGACGACCATTGCACTCACGGTTCTTAAATATGCAGGCCTATGGAAAGATTCGGCATCTATAACAGAGTGAGCCCCTTAAATAAAAATTTGGTACGAATGTATCAATTTCTAAATATTATCTAATTCGATAATATTCAGTCAACATCACTCGAGACGAGATGATGTTGATGTTGACGGAATGTTATCCTCGAGTGTAATATTCTTTGGATGCTCCACTTAAATGGTTGATGAACACGGTACATCAACCAGATGAACCACCAATCGCTGGTGGACGCGCGCAATGGGTGGCGAGCAAGAAATTCACATAGAAGATTGTAGTTTAATATGGCTGAATCAAGACAAAGATTGTTTATTAAAAGTAAAACGACTATATTAAATACAGTTCTACTTTTTCCTCAGACAAAGCTTTTCGATTTCTGTTTACTTCGGTTGCTCTTCCTCGCCACGTGTACGTAAAGTCGGTAGAACGCAGCCTTGTGTTCCATTAACACAAGGTCTTACCAGTCATCTAATAAGAAGCGTGCCCTGTTACACCTGGTAGCACTTTGTCGTCCGTCCCTCGACCATAACTACCTCTTCTAACATAAACATGTTCGATAAAAAGAAAAGGTTTTTTAGTCATGTGTGGGTGCTTTAATCGTTTTAGTGATATCGAGTGGAGAGCGGTAATATGCATGAGACCTCTAGTAGGCGAAATCGCGATCAGCGCCATGTTGAAGTCTCAAGAAACGGACTAACAACATGCTGCTATAGCCAGGCTTAGTCAAAATGAACTTGTCGCTGAGAGAGAAAATTAGTCTTGCTTCACCAACAAGTCTTTAAATATACCGAGCACTTTAAGGAACTCGAAGCTCAACAGACAGAGCTATTGAAAAGCAGCAATACGATGCTGATGTGGGCGGGGCAACACACACGCGTCGGTTTAAAATTTTAAAGGTTGATATCGCAAGTAGAGCGAAGTCGAGGTAGAATCCCTGTTGGTATGGTTTGTCACACTAGATAGAGCCATAAAGACACGTCGAATCCACGATGAGCAAATGAAACTCACATTTGCTCAAACCCACTTGGCAGGACGTGCAAAGACTTGTGCTAGGGCTGGAGATGAGCGACTTATACTCTGTTCAGTCGCTTGAAGCCTCCAAGATACGGCTTAAACAAACATTTGAACTGCCACGGACTGGATTTAGGGATCGACCAGATCTCCTTAAACTCAAGCAGGGTAAGCGTGATACGCACGATTACGCCCAGCATATACGACTCCTCACGAGTAGTATAACTGGTTACACAGTTCATGAACACACGTTCATTACTGGGTTTATGCAAGGACTCGAAGATGGACCCGTCAGGAACCACGTGTTCCGCCTAGATCTGGATACGCTTGAACAAGAAATTTCAGCTGCGGAATTGGAGGACTTAAGCATAATACAGGCTCATGTCAGCTCAAGCTCTGTCGTCCTCCAAGACGACAAGAGACTGGAGGTATAGAACCGATGCACCTCTGTTATATTGAGATCGAGAGGCCTCGCTATGCAAAAAAAAGCGATTGCAGAAGTGCAATCGGTGTCAAAAGTTAGGACACCATGCTTACGAGTGTAGTGCCTCTCGCCCAGTACTAAATAGTACTTAATCAAACGATCTACCATTCGCCAAGAACGGCTAGGAGAGTAGGTCCAGCGCAGTTAAAAAGCCGCAACAGCGAAGCGGACCATACACAATGGACGGGGTCAGTAGGGGCAAAGTGCCCTACTGATCCAGCAGCATCAAGAGAATTGGCAAATCGCTTGACGAAATTTACTTCCGACACAAAGTCTCTGTCTGTATCCGCATCTTGAAATGAGGTATGCTTCATCATCTTGTCGTTTGAATTGACAAAGGACTCGTCACTTCGCGCCCTGGTTGACTGTGCGCGAAGAAAACCTTTGTTGCTTGTCAGTTACTAGAGGCTGGTAGATCCAACTTTGTCGAGGAACATATACCTTAGCCGAGAATGACGGTGCGCGCCTATCGACATGCGCATCGATCACTTTTGCAAATCGTTTAATTGAAATCCACTACACATTTAAAGGCGAACAGCATGATAAAGTCTTCATCATACTGAAATTGGATGAAAAATGCGACGTCATTCTAGGAATGCCTGGGCTAACAAGCTACAAACCAAGTGTAACGGGGCACTGTTGACTACGTACTGGTTGACCAGTACGGAGTATACTTCTACTGACGACAGTGGTCGACAGTGCCCTGCTAGGTGTTTTAAGGAAAAAACAGAGGAAGGAAAAGAGACTAAGTAGTCAGACTAGTCTCTTGGTAAAAGTAAACTGTATTAATATAATTAAGTCCTGTAACTCCTTGAATCTCTGTTTTCCTGACTTAATTATACTAATTTATCGAAATGTATGATGACGTCTACTCACAACCCATTGCGCGCGTCTAGCAGCGATTGGTGGGTTGATATCATCACGATATCAACTAATGAGTAGACCCTTCGGTCATCCCAACAATGTCACCATGTCTTGTGATATTGTTAAAAAAAATAATTTACGTAATATTCTTTATTGTGAGATTGTTTTAATGACAATCTCATGTAACGGGCTACCCCGTTACACCAAGGGTGAGCTGGCAGCATCGATCTGTAAAGATGCCTGCCACTTGACATTAGATATCCATCTGATGAACGTCTTGGAGCGTCCACAGACGTGTAGCGTACTGCCAGTGATTGTAATGGTATCACTTGATGTACGGTCGTTAGCGCGACTGTACATGTAGGTGATCACTACACTGTAGAACAAGATTTCTGCGATTTTGCAAGTGCACAGGTGACGCCGAGGGTTCACTAATAGAGGTCGAATGGGCCGGGACAGAGATTCATAGCATAGGACAACACGATTATCCTAGGACGACTAAGAAGTAGGCCGTAGAGGATCGCGACCTGAATATAATAACATAGCCACATTTAGAGAACT